GGCAGAAATGTAGCAGCCCAACACAGCAAGGAAGCAATAATCCCAAACGACCCTCGGAAAACAAAGTCGGCCACAGACTAACCGACTGACCATGAATCATAACTAACTAATCAATAGCCACCAATCAACCTGAATCTGATGGGCCTTGACAGCTTTGTCGGTAGGAGGCGTCCACTGGTAAGCGTGCTTGATTGCAGGTGTAGAAGGCTGCCGAGTCATATTGCTCTGAAGCTCAGCATGACCGCCACGTTCCCAAGCCTCTCTCACAAGAAGGGCCTGTGTATCAGCTGAAATCATGTCCAACTTGGATGCTTCGGCCACCGTCAAAGCAAGCGGGTCACCTTGAGAGGCACGGGCCTCCTTCTCCAAAGCTTCTTTGAATTCCGAATATTTGGCAGCCAAGTCCATGCCGGCGACCGGCACCAAGCCAAAGTCGAATCTAGGTGCATCATGCGCCACGATGGCGGCATCAGCAGCAGCATCCCGTTGGGCATCGTCATGTCTGCCATCTGAGCCATCTGCAATGCGGCGAGCATACGAAGTGTCGCCAAAAGCCCTGTGGCCTCGCTTGTGAGCCAGTGTGCCCGCACGACCTACATCAGCAAACCGTGCTCGGTCAGCATCACCCAGGTGTTGATACTCCTCTGCAAGGTCTGCGAAGATGTTGTCGTCGTCTCGGCTGGAAGCCCTGACTCCACGCAGACGATAGCTGACGAAGGCCCTCCAAAGACCACCACCACCTCCCTTCTTTTTCTCCTTGGAGTCCTTCCGTTTCGGCCCGGGCTTCTTCATGTCTTGGGTTGTCGCTCTCGCATCAGCCGCTCGGGAAGTAGTCATTTTCACAATCTTGCGCCGCTGTTGCAGGATATGCAAGGCCGATACAGTTTCCAAGGAACTCACCCATCCTTTGGCTCTGACATTGATGAAATCTCGTGTCAGTGAGTGGCACGACTCTATCTCGCCGATGTCCACACTGATGCTGGCTGCTGTGGCTTGCAGAATTGCCATAGCATCTTTTCCCAGCAGGGACATTGGTGATGGAAAGGTTCTGCACATGAAACTGAAGAACTCATCTTTCCTTGGGCTAGCAGCATGCTGCAGCTGACTCCGACAATGCTTCGAAACTCTGTCGAAATGTGTTATAAAGCCCTCCCGATTCGAGGGGTTCTAGGGGCCTCTACGTCTACGGCTTGGCCTACCCCTTAAGGCTTAAAGGCTTAAAGGTTTATGCCTTAAGCCTTAAGCTTTAAGCCTTGAGCCTCCCTCCCCTGAGGCAAAAGAAGAATCAGGAATTATTTGCCGGAGACTAGAGTCAATATAGAGTCTATCTATCTATCCAGAACCTGCGACCGCGGACCCAAAACCCTGGCCCAAGCTCCTTCAGGAACTCTTCAGGCGGAGTGTCAATGGTCAAAGAGTCAAAGTCAAAGCAAAAGCTAGCAGCCAGCCCAACAAACTGTCAATGATTGTTTGCAAAAAATGGAAAACTTAGCCTACATGCCTCATGTCATTCTGAAGTGACTGAACCGGGAAGAGTCACAAGCACGGTGGAGTGTCCAGAAGCTTCTGGGCATCAGCATGGCTCCTGCTGTCCAAAAGCAAAAAGCCCTGATAGGTGATTGACCTGCGAGGAATACGGAGAAGACCGTGTAAGCAACACAAGCCGGAACTTGCACTGCAAAAACGAAGAGCACGAAACTTGCAGGCCAGAAAACTGACTGAGTCTAGTCGTTCCTCGCACAGAACTTGGACCAACTTGTCCATGCAGCGGTGGATCTGTGTGCCTCGTGCAGCTTGCAGAACCAAGTAATCTCTAGGCTGTTGCAAAGCAGCTTTGGCAGCCTGTTTCTGCTCCCATGCAGAACTGGAAAGTGCCAGGAATTCTGTCATGACCAAGTGAATGGCATTGAGAACCTCCTTCAGAACACACAGTCGGGGAAGAGGCTTCGAGCAAATGTATTCTCTGACCGAAAAACGCCTTAGCCTGTTCTCTTCTGCAAAAGCTGTCGTGGCTGACACTGGCTCACCCGAAGGTTCCTGAACACTCGGCTCAGGCTCAGGGATCTGTTCTGCTTCAGCCTGCTCCCCACTTCTGTTTCCAGACAAGTCTTCCAGAAGAAAATCTTGGACAGCATTATCCAGTGCACTGCCAGCTGAACCATCTGTGGCTGTGGCGGGCGGGGCAGCTGGCCTTCCCACATAAGCAATCATGATTTTGGAGAACAACTGGTGATGAGATTCGAGGCATCCTGCCCACTCCATAGCGTGGGTCTGGTTCAGCCAGTTCTTCCTCGAAAGCAAGGGCATGCGCCGAGGCAGCAATGCCCACAGCCCGAAGGATGTGAGTTTGCCAACAAAGTCATCATCGCTCTGGCAACATCCCACTGGGCAGTAATGTTGCGGCACAGAGCTGAGCAAATCGCCGTTCAGTAGGTTGCTCAGCAAGAATCTCCGTTTGCGATGCTGCTTGGCAACACTTGGACCCACATGCTTGGTTGGCAGCCAAAGATCAAACATCTCCATCCGATGCCGACTGATGCGTCCTTGAGGAGGAAACTCATCACACACACGCTCGGTTGTCGACACGAGGATTGACAGCAATATCTCTCGTAGGCGACCCATGGCTCCTGCATCTCCTCGAGTGACCAATGCCGAGTTTATTAGTCCACTCATATCAGACTCACAAGATCGAACGGTGTGTTTGATTGCTGTAGCTGCTTTATGAAGATCACACGGGGTGTGAATCAACACCTGTTTCGGCAGCCACTCTTGCAGACCACGTTCTGTCCGAAAGTTTGCACCAGCACGGTCCGTGCAAACGGACCGCACCTGATGCTGGAAGCCGCCGACCAGCCGCTTGTACTCTGGAATCTGGGTGAGTGACTCCCAGATACACATGCGCTGACATTCGCCAGTGGTTCTCTCAATGACCTGGAGTGGGCACGGAAGATCAAATGTCAACGAATGGCAGTCCCCATCTTTCTCAGCGAACACGAAGCTCATTGCAACTTGTGTTTGGAGGACTTTCGCATGAGTCGCGACATGTGCAACATGCGACGATAACGAGGCACCATTGCCCAGCAAGAACTTCTGTAGTGCTGGACCCTTCGCACATGCGTGTGGCACAATCACGCACTGTGACATGTCGCCACTGACACTGCCTTCCCTGACACCGTCTGAAGCCTGATCATTGAACGATGCTCTGCATATCCGAACTTTGGCAGGAGTTTCATCATATCTAACTTTTGTCACAGCTAGAAGAGGTTTCAATCCCTGCTGGGCTGCGATCTTGCAAAAATCAGAAAGCATGGAACCCAACATGATGCCGTTGGTCTCAGCTGTGGCGGCACCGGCAGCAACTAAAGTGCCTTGCGCAACCGATGCCTCCTTGCCTGTGAGTCTGGCAAGCAAGGAAGCCGAAGCTGTGAGAACCTTGCCATTGACGACATGATCAATCATCTCTGGTGACCCTGCTTCCTCTGCCTTGGGCTCCGTCATCACTCCGCCTCTGCCCTTTGCAGCACTGCTTCTGATGTCCACAAGTGCAGCAGCCAGTGATCGCTGCACAGGACTACCCATTCGAATCATCAGATCTGCTGGTCCTAGCCCTTGCCAGTCTTTCTTTGCCATTCTTTGAAGTCTCTGCTCCCTTACCCGGTTCATCCTGTTTTCAGGGTTTGCGACAGCAGGCGCCACGGCCGCCACGGCTTGCACCTGGCCCTGCTGTGCAGAAGCAGCCGCATCATCCACCGCATCAGAGACTTCATGCAGATTCTGCCGCAAGAGCACAGATCCACGCGGACGGCCGCGGCCAGGCTTCCTGGTCCTAGTCGCTGCCACTGCTGGAGAGGGCTGAGAGTCGTCGTCGTCGGACGGTCCAATGACATCACGGATGGCCTCATCAAGCTCCCGGTCCATTATGATCCTGATCAGGTTGTGTTGTGACTGTTGAGACTGTTGAGGGCCACAAAGGTAAAAGGTGTTCAAGCCACACAAGATTGAGAATAGTTCTTATCGAAACCTGCAGCTGGTCCAAACAGCTGTCCACTGTTCAGCCATCGTAATTGTAATGTTGTAATGCATTGTGAAGCTGTGCCTCAGACATCCAAAGCAATCTAAAATCTACAGCCACTCGTTCACTGGACCGCACAACAACAGAAACCCTCGGTCCTAGCTGGTCCTAGGTCCTAGCTGCTAGCTACGTCTCGTACGTCCTAGGTCCTAGGCCTGATGCCTCAGCTGGATGTCAAAAACATTCCCAAGCATGTGGCATGCTCCGTGTCCTGAAACATTAGCGCGGAGTCAGACCGGCCAGAAGTTGGAGCTGACAGCTCGGCAAGTTCGGGCGCAATCCACAGACCCACAGACTCTTCGGCTCACAGTGTCGGAAGCATCGAAATCCTCAGATCTGTGGGGGTTGGGGAAGACGTGAGATTCTGTTAGACGTTGACAGAACACGACCTAGGACCCAGGAGAACCACTCTGTAGTTCAACGATCAAAAGCAAATGAAAAAGATTGATTCTGACTAGAATCTAAAGTCTAAAGACTAATGACTACTCCATCATATGTATAGGCCGTAGACGACCACACCCAACACAAACCCACACGGGAAATAATACGTCTGGTGGATCTTGCACCTCTATTCAATGATTGAAAGACACCATGCAACTCTGGAAACAATAAGTCTGAGCTGTGTTTCTGGCTGTGGCTGCCACTCAGCTGCACCTAGACCTAGTGACACCGACTGTCAGGCTCGACCATGGCTGCTTGGTCCGAGGATTGAGAACAGTCGACTCACGAAAAACCCCTGGCCGTGTAGAATTGGAACCTCACGGTTGGGGTCGATCCGGGTAGGTAGGCCAGGCATGGACGGGAGACTAGAGCACAAGCACATAATGTAATGGTAATGTAACGACATAGACTAGACTAGTGACTAGACACCAGACATAGACTCTACATAGGCATAGCATAGCATAGCATAGCATCTGGTCACCAGATGAAAGATGTCTTCAGGGAACTTCAAGGGACTCTAGACTCTAGACTCGAGAATCTAGCTAGCAGCTAGCAGCTAGCAGCTAGCAGATACTTGAGAACCTTGCACATGTGAAACTTAAAGATCCACATCCATCTACAGACGGACTGAAACTCGACAGTTCAGCACTGAAGTTCTGGGAAACCCCTGACCCTGGCCTTTGGCATTCTCTCGGCTTCGGTCCCCAATGGCAGCAAGGAAGCAGCGAGTGAAGCTACAGCTCACAGCTACAGATTGACCATGCCGAGAAACCAAGCCAAACAAGGGGGTCTGGTCCAACCGCACGGGAGCACCAGCTATTGCCAGACTACTCAGAAAACTCAAGACCCAAGAGTCAACAGTGCAATGCTCCAAAGTCCAAAGTCCTTATACCAGGAATAACCCCATTGAACACCCAAAGCTGCAGAGCTTTTAACGGATTTCTTACCCGGTCTTACCCAGGTTAATGACCCGGCCAAGGCCGATGCCCTGCTTAGACTTTACACTGTCAAAGTGCTGCTGCAGCTGCTACTGCTACAGCTGCAATGAGTCACAGGAAGCGACAACCACATATATAGATTCGCAAAATGCCAATTGATTCAGACTCGAACACAATGTGTCAAACTACTCCAAAATCCAGGCTTAACCCGCAGCGCCTGGGCCGAGACATCTGCATCCATAGAGCAGAATCCATCTCGAACTTCACCAAGAAGTAGCCACCAAATTTCATGTTCCCCTTCTTCATGTGCAGCAGCAGCCTGTAATGTGGGACAACAGAAACATGTGCTGCCTTGGGCCTAGGGCCTAGTGACTGTCAAGAACACTTCCCTTATTAGCCTCTGGGATGCACATCTAAGCTTGGAATGGATCTCACAGAACTGCCTGGCACCTTCATGATCTTGGCAGACTGACTTCCTGACTTGAGTGCTCTGTACCAAATAAGTCGAACAGCCTCCATTTCAAGACTGATGAGTTTGAGGGTTGAATTCCTCGGCCATTGCTTTGCCTGCTGCCTGAATGCTTCAAACAACCATCGACTCAGAATCTACACGATGCTGATTGGATATTCGGTTTTTCAGTGTTGGAAAATCTATGGCGAATCTGCACTACACTCTATGCTACACTGCTACACTCACTACCAGTACCACACTGACTACACTGCTGCACTGGGCTAAACGAGCTGAAACCTGGCCTAAGTAATCTGATGAAGCCCGTGTCCTTAAACCTCAAACTCGCCTTAAACTTAAACCCCACTCCAGCCTTGCACATCTTCCTGAAGCCTTGCCTTACCGTGCATTCTTGGAGAAGTCGTGAATCTTACTTAAGTCTCCCTGTGCCCTGTGCTGTCCGTCCGGTGCCTGTCATACGGCGTTTCTGTGGTAGCCTTGTGGAAAGGCAGCAGGAAACCTGGGACCTGTTCGGTGATCGCCACGACCGGAGAATAAAGTTCGAACATTCGGACCATGTCGCGCATAGTAGTATTGAAAAGTGAATGACTTTCCACGTTGCCGTTGCAATGCCTCTTGTGTCTCTGCACGGAGTATGGGTCACAAGGGGAGCCACACACCATGAGGTCTACAGTTTCATCGGTTGCGCCATACACAGCTTCTTCAGTGTTTCCAAGGCATGCCAAGCAAGGGCACTTCGAAGGTCTTTCTGCTGCAACTGATATTTGATCTTCTATACTGCAGAACATGTGCTGAATCTCGTTGGGAAAGTTCTCCATCACGAAAGCCCGGTAATCAGCATCAGTGTCCGAGGCTGAAACGACCGAAAACTTGATGCCGAGGGCCTGCAGCAGACCAGTGCGGCTCAGTACGGATCAAAAGGTTGCAGGAGTTTCGGGAGTTGAGTTCGGTGTCAACTGAGCAGCAGCAGCAAAACCGCAGAAGCTCGAACACAACAAAGGCCAATATCCTGGAAAGTTGCAAAGAAACAGAGTGCCTGTGTCTTTTTTGCTGTGCAAATCTGGGTTTCGTTGATTGCCTAAACCATACACATGCTTCGGCTTTGGCTTCAAGCTCAATGTCGTGGAAAATCGTGCTTGGATGGGGGTTGTTCGAAAAGCCTGCCTGGGCCTAAGACTTTGTGCTGATGATACATCACCCCGACCCCCCCCCCGCAAACCTGGCAGAATCTAATATCCAACCATGCCCCAAAGTGCTAAGTAAGTTTCAAGCACACCTAACGGCCAAGCTAAGTGGCTACTTTAACCCTACCCAATGCATTAAACCTCAGGACGCAGGCCTAAGGCCTAAGGCTAGTGCTACTGCTAGTGGCTGGTGAGTGTGACTAAGGATTGAGTCGGTCGATGCCAGCCTACACCATGCCTCTACGACATAAGGACTCTACGACTCTACGACTCTACGACGGCGCACAAGCGCAAACCCCAACATTGCCAAGAACAAGACTGTGACTCAAGCAAGCAGCGCCACGTCCTAACCTAACGGTCCTAACCGTCCTAACCGTCCTAACCGTCCTAACCTAACCCAACCATGGAAAGAAACACTGGTGATCTTTGGGGGCCCGGCCTTCAGAACCCAAGACTCGGCACTGCAACCGGTGCATGCACTGAGAACGTTCACATGTTCTGATTGTGAAAGAGATATATCATCGAAACCCAAGTGACGCCCTGCTGCTTTCAGAAGGGCCGCCCACCACGTGCTCGGGAGCCGACGACCACTGCTGCCACCGCTGCTCTCTCCGCCCTCCCCTCTCTCATTCTCTGACATGTCAGCTGTACTAGGTGTGCGGATAAAATCACATTGGTCGATCTGGTGAGCCAGATCCTCCTCACCCAGCTCCTCTCGCAAAACATCTTCCCACTCGGCAGCCATGGCTGCACGTGCCCTGAACAAAAGGATTACCAGGTTTACAGGGTATAAGTATGTGTTTACTGTCTGGCGACCTACCTACCTGGTCCTACCTGCCCTTACCTCAGAACTGAGAACTGAAGGTCCGTGTCCCTGTGCCATGCTGCAACTGTAAGTGTAACCTGTCGCTGCCTGCTACGTCGCTACGTGCTGGCAATGCTGAGCAAACAGTGGCCATCATCGTATAATCACATAATCATAAACGTCATAAACTGTGATAAAATCAATACTTGCTGCTGACATCGGCAAAAATGCTGAACTGCATTGACTCGACACACAGCTTCATCAAAACCTGTTTGAGCCCTTGTGGCTTAAACACTGTGCAGCACGTTTGTGAAGCACTCAGACAGACTACTCGGAATCGCAGGGCCCAAGGAATCGAAGCGTGCTACCCGAAGACACCATTATGCACGAAGCAACAACTGACACAGCCACTGGTGTGGCGAGACGATCGGCAGAATAGAGGCCATAGGCATGCTGCGGCTCTGCCAAACTGATCAGTAGACACGCACCGGATCTGAATCTGGTTGGGCCGGGATGCAACAGCCTTTCTCCTACCAACTGCAATTTGTTGAGACCCCAAGAACTGGTCGAGTCTACTCTAATCACTCTAATCTCGCTATGACTATAATCAGAAGTCCACACACAAAACACACGCACACACACACACGGTTTTGAGGAAGTCCACAATCTCTAAATCTATGTCGATCGACGATGAGGCCAACACAGAGACAAACTGAGTGGCTAATCATCGACTGTGGTCACTGGTCAGGTGTTCCTGCACACATCTCATTGACAATCCCAAATTGCCGGGCGGTTTTAATTTCCCTGCAAGATTAGGCAGCAGCAACAGGTGGAGACCAACAAAGCACGTCAAGCAAAGAAACATTTGGAGACAAACGAGAAACACGACCAAACATTTCTTATGAGGAGAGCTCGTAACAATTGAGCAATAAATGGAAAAGCGTAATTTGGCTACCAGTTACACAAGTAAACATGACAACTGGTTTAATATGTTTGTCAGTATATATTTGCTAAACCGTCATACAACTATAATATATGGATATAATAAACAAATACTGAAAAAACACGAAACAGCAACTAAAATGCTTATTTCCGCAATATTTTGCAATGTTCCAAATGTTCTAAAAAAAGACGCAAAAACAACGCAAAAAAAACGCAAAGATAACGCAAAGATTTCGCAAAGATTTCGCAAACATTTCGCAAACATTTCGCAACCCATTTCGCAACCCGAAATCCGGGGAGCAAAAAAAACGCAAAACCATAACGCAAAGATTTCGCAATATTTCGCAAAATTAATTATTTTATGTTGACTGGCTGCGTAGCCCTAATCATCTCATAAGTGTACCTGTCTGGTTTGAGGTTTCCTATGTCCACTGGAATGTCATTGGTATCTCGAGGATTGAACAAAGTCTTCCTCAACGAGTTGTGGTACCTCGTGAGTGTGGTGCCATCCATGCTGATTGACCATGCATCCTCAGTGTACTCTTCAAACATCTTTCGATCTTCATCTTCCTTGGGGGTGCCTATGAGGTTCAGCGGAAATTCCTTGAGCGATACTAGCGTAAGTGTGCGATACTCCTTGCTACCATCGAAGATTGTTCCAAACGGTTCTTCAAGTTCCTCAAACATGATGCTGTGATGCAACAAATACCACTGATCATCATCCTCAATAAGCACTGCTCGATATGCGAACTTTCCTGGTGGAAACATCAAGTAAGTATCAACGTGTTCTGAGGTTCCTAGGCTGAAGTGGACTTGGTAAGGGTCTCGCCAGTTGGTCCAACCAACACGCTGTTCTTCAATGAGTTCCTTCAAGTTCTCGCACAAGTACATAGGGATAGGCTTTGCTTCTGCTTCCCAGTTGACTGCTCTCACAAAGGCTTTTGTTGTAAGTGAGTTGTTGTTGTAGTTCACTGCAATCTTGGTTGTTCCTTCTGTTAGGAAAGTGCCTGTTGCTGTTCCATCTCTGAACTCCCAGCCTTTCTTCAACAGTTTACCTACTGCCAGAAGAGGGTGCACAACCGATGAAATCAAGAACACTTCTTCAACCTTCACAATGTTTCCTTGAATATCCCGAAACTCAACTTCAATAATCCTTTGGTCTGAAACCTTAATTCGGGATCCTTGCGCATCTCGCAAAACTACCTTGGTAGTGTTGGGTGCTTTCCTTCCGTACTTCTTCATCCACATTGGTGCCAACGAAATGTCGGCTCCTGAATCCAGCACAACCTCGATCTCTCGAGTTCTCGTGTTCCTCGCTGCACGCGCAAACCTAGTAATGGTCCTTGAGGGTGCTGTTCTCTCTACTCTGTTCCTTCTAGGAGGATGGTGACATCCGTTCTCACATTCCTGCATGTCTGGGTGCCACGGTGTTTCATGACATCCATTGGGACACTCAAAGTAGTATCCACGGTCCTGAGTTCCTATCGGAGTTCCTTCTAGGTGCCATTGCAACCATGCATCATCACTCACCTCATCACAATCCTGAAACTCATCATCTTCATCACCAATCCAAAACTCTTCTGTCTCACTTCTCTCTTCCTGAACTTCTTCACCAACAACCCGCAAAACTCTTCCGAAGTACTCAATCTCTATCTCATCAGAGTTCTCACTCATCTCGAATTCCTCCGGAAAGCTTGTGGGCTCGTCTCCCATGTGGTACATGGAGACCATCCTAATCACTGGTCTTTGGGTTCCTTGGCTTGCTTGGCTTTGGCTTGTTGAGGTCTTGTTGGCTGACGAAGGGGCCTGAGTCGAAGTACCTGTAGTGCTCGCTTGCTCGCTCTGGTTTTCAAGGTCAACGTTCCTTGCCTGATAACCCATGTCACGCATCTTCTGCCTACACTGTGCTTCGAAATGTCCATACTTATGGCAGTAGTGACACACTCCTGTAGCTGCTTGGGCTTTTCCTTTACCTTTTCCTTTGTGTCTGAAGAAACCTCTTCCTCGACCTTTGCCTTTTCCTTTGTAACCTCTGAAACCTCTACCTCGGCCTTTCCAGTTGCCTCGACCTCTGCCTTTGCCAAAACCTCCGAAACCTTTACCTTTACCTTTGCCTTTGCTGTCAAAGCCGAAACCTTTTCCGAAGTCCTTTCCACCTTTCTTGCCTTTTCCTTTACCTTTGCCTTTATGGTGAACATAACCTTTGCCATAGCCTTTCCTTCCTTTGTACCATGCTTGGTTGATATCCATTGCTGCAAGACCACCATGGTCATCACCTTTGTCGATCAAGTCTGTTGTGGTTCGGTGAGGTGTTCCTTGCTGGGCTGCTAAAGAGTTAGTCCAACGCTCGGTTGACTCATAGTTCACAAGGTACTGACGAAGAGTATTGTACTGTGTCTTCTCATCCATGTTGAGCAACAAGTGCCTTTTCACGTCAGGTTTCATACCTTGGATAAGAGTAGATACTTTCAAATTCTCCTGTACCTTTTCTCCAGTCGCCTTCTCGTACTTCTCGATGTGTTCCTCATATTCGAGGATATTCTCAGCAATTCCTTTGTTGTGAGCAAACTTGTAGTTGAGAATGTTGTGAAACAACTCCAACGATCTCGCTCGATTCGTTGGTTGATATTCCTTGAGTAGCATACGGTAAGCTTCCATACCGTTTTCCTCAGCTACATGCTTTACAACTCGGTACGGCCTTCCTTTAGTGTACGAACAAAGAACACTGTACAGGCGTCGGCTTGTTTCCTTTGCTTCTGCAGACATCTCAGCCATCTTCACTTGTTTATCATCTTTTAGGTTCCTTTCTGCGATGTCCATGATCTTCACCATGTTGGAATCCACTGCTCCAAGCCAGATCCGAATCCTGTTCCTGAACTCTGTCCATCCACTCTTCTCTTCTTGCCATGTTCCTGGGGAAAATGCTTCGGGGCTTTTAATCAGCTTGTGCAACTCCACTTCTCCAGGCTTTCTTTGTTCCTTTACTGCTTTCTCCAGAGATGCTCCTATCTCCTCAAGTGTCGTTGCTGCATTCGTGTGAGCGTCTGCCAACGCTGTTTGTGCTGTCTTCTGTTGTTCCTGAACTGCTGTCAGGGTTTCCTGGAATGCTTGTGTGAGTCCTGCTTCTCTTTGACTTCCTGAAGCTGCTGAGTTCCTGATCTCCTCTGCTAGTGTTTGTATTCCTTGTAAGGTCTGTGCATTGATCTCGGCAAGTGCCTTCAATGCATCCTCCATTCCTTTTGCTGCTTCAAGGTTGCTGTACACTAGTGCTGCTAAAAGTAGTGACTTGCACTGTTTCCTGCTCACTGCTTGTGCTCTCCTTTCTCCTCTTGTCTTCCTTTGGTGCTTCGAGCAATTGCTTGCTCTTGCGAAAAACAAACTAGAATAGTACGACAGGGTGATCCAAGTAATCAGTCCCATTGGGGTTCCTAAGAACACTGCTATGCGAATTCCTTGAAATACAACTCTGTTGGAAATGACTTCCTGAACTATCACATGCACGACGTCGTGAAACTTCTTTCCTACGGTTGCTAGCTTTTCTACGAAACTGTGAACATGTTCCTGTACAACTTTCCTCAGTACTTCTCGCTGTTGTTTTACTAGGTACCTAGGGGCGTAGCCTGACTCAAGGCTCTCACTCTCCTGGTTCTCGGTGTTCTGGTTGCCGTTCCTGTTCTCTTCCGTGTAGTACTCGCCGGTCACGCTAACGACGCTGTAGAGCTCGTTCATCACTTGGTTCGCGCACAACAAAGCGTACGGTACCATGACTTTTCCTATCTCCACATAGTCCTTAATCGTGTACGCGTTCGTGTTCCTGATCGTGTTCACGTTGGTGCCGTCGGGGTTCACGCTGCACTCGTTGTAGCCTTGCTGGTAGTACTCGCCGTACACGT